TATGATTTTATATTCGATAATATAAGAGATTATTTAAAAACGATATAAAAAAGTAAGGAAGTCATTACATCAAACAAATCGAACTGAAATAAGAAACCATCCCTATGTACTATGTATGGTACTATGTTTTTCTAAGAGTAAAACATTTTAATTTAAAAATAAGATAATATTTTTCTAATCTAAAATATAAAAGTCGGTAAAGTTATTTATTTAAAAGGTTATGCCATTTTGTAATCGAGATTTTGCTGGACTCTTTTAATAGCATACATATGAAAAACAGAACTCTACCACCCATGGTATCATATGTTTAGTTGATATACATACATAATATACATACGCGCTGCTATATGTATATACGGAAACAAATCTATTTCTTGATCTATTTTTTTCCCGTGCACCTACTATCTTAATTTCCAAACTTCGAAATTCCCAAAGAGTACATCGTTGAGAAACACTGATTAAATCAGCGGTTAAACAATTGTTAAAATTGTAAAAAATTACCAGTTAGGTAATTCTGAAGTGATCACATTTCAGATCGAATTTTTTATAATAATTCGGTTCTGCATTGCTTTGTGAATAGAACTGGAATAAGAAACTCTAGAAAATATACTCTGCAATATTTTTCTAACATGAAAATCAATCAAAATTGTTTGGTTTTCTAACATTCAGACTGATCAAAATATTATGTGGCAATAATAATCTGAAACGAATTGTCAAAAGACTAAAGCATCCACAATAACTCACTGCGTGATCTGATATGTGATCTGAAGATGTATTGGTCCCATAGTTTTATCGGAACTTTTTATTTTTAATAAACAATTCTCATCACTATGGTTACTACAGCCCAGTTACCAAGTTACCAATTTTTTATTGACGTACGGTAAAAGATATGACATTAAAGATGTTTGGTTTCAACAGGATGGTGCCACAAATTCCTCAACTCGTTCCATTTTGATTTTATTAAATGAAAAATTTTTTGAAAGTTTAATATTATATTTTAGTGACTGCAAACTAGGGAAGAAGATAGAAGTTAGTATCTCCCTTTCAATCATACCTGACGCAGTGTGTGACAAAAGAAAAGATGTCTTGCTTATGCACGGCGGCGACTCAATACTTTAGGAGCCCACTTTGTTAAACATCTTAATCAATTAGAAGATCTGACATTAAACAGCATTTTGAGATTCGTTAAAGTTTCTAGGTGGTTTTAAACCACGAGGTTTCCTCTATGTACGGTTTCCTCTATGGGCCAGTAGGCTTAAATGGATCCTCTAAGGATAGCCGGTATAACCTAACTCTACCTAATATTACATTTTGGTGTTGTGGTTTGACTATTGGATTTAGAAAAATACAATAAACATTAAAATAATAGAAAAACTTGTTTCTAGAGTTATAGAAGTTCAAGTTATGGCAATTATGAAATATTAGTATATAAAATATTATAAATTATAAAATATGAAATATATATTTAATTGCATAATATTAACAGATAGAATCTAATATTTTTGATTTAATTTGTACTTCAGCTAAATATCATAAATCACAGATTTTATGTAGATTTAATTTAGTTATTTATTTTGCATATATTTAGCAAAAGGATTATAGAGATTCTTTTGTTGCGATTTGCCATAATCTGTGATAATGATTTTGTTCAATGCAAAATGTCATTAACTTAAAAGCATAATATATTCTATATATTATCACAGAATCATCATCAATATCATCATCAATTTTGCATAGAAATGAGTTTCATTATAGAATAACATGGACGTCATTGTCAGTAGTCATAGACAAAGTCATCGTCATAGTCACAGGCACAGGCACAGTCATCATCATCCGCACCATCACTACTGCACATCTCCAACAATGAATTCTTTGTGTAAATTTCCATGTAAAACTTTTGTTTTCTCTCATGTGTTTTCGTACAAAAAATGCCTTCTATTCGTCCGTACAATAGATAAGGAAGAGGCTTAAGTGCTTGTGTTTAACCGCAATGCCATTGGGTGCATTTGTGCTGGCGTTTAGAGATACAAGCAAATTGCAACTTGATGCGGCCTCCTCCTACACTCCTACACTCCTACATTCTGAAGGGTTGTTGCTGCAAGTTGTGAAAAAGTTTTGCATATTTTAAATTTAATGCAACAAGTTCAATGCGGTTCGTTTAACAGGCACTATACGTAGTATAAGTGCACAAAAGTATCTCCTGTTCTTGTTTATTCTGTTGTTTAAACTTGAGTTCATAGATAAAACTAAAATATAAATATTTTTCACTTATTTATGTTTTTCAAACTGTTTTCTATGAATATAAATTTATTCTCTTGTTATAAATATTTTCATTTTAAGTCCGTAGTTTTACACTCAAAAGGATGTTATATATAAAAAGAATGTTTTTAAACTAAAATTCATTTCATTTATTCATTTATTCATTTATATGTAAAAATATTCAGACAATATTATAACAATATATGCTATCACTTTGATTTTATTTTAGTTCAATATTAAAATACTTACTGATTTTCTAAAATTATATAGTGAGCTATAAAATTGTTTAAACATTCATTATGTAGGAAAGGAAAGTAAACTAACCACTAACCAAACTCAGGAATTTTGCTCAGTACTAGTACGAATTTTCACATCAATAGTAGTCAAGATTATAGGACAATTAAATGGATTGAATATTCAAAGTTTAGTAGAACTGTAATTTGAAGCCACGTTGTTTTATGCTTGGCAAGTGTTAAGTAGGCAGTTAGTTATTGTCTGTACCCAAATGAATTCAGAATAACTTTTCCCAGGTACGGTAACGTATTTAGAATTCTATTTAGACCATACATAATCTTATTTCATCCAGGAAATATACTAAAATAATTATCTAATGACAAATCAATAAAATACTTATAAAAATATATAACATAATCATTCTATTCTCGATTTAAAAATGCTTCTACTAAAACAAAAAAATCTTATCTAGCTTATTAATCCACTTGGTCAACTAATTTAGTAGGCAATATTTTTTTTTAAAACAGTTCAAAGGCAAAAAAAGCTCATTTGCAGATAAAGTAGAAATAGTTTGTTTTGTAGAGGTTATAGAAACTTATATGTTAAGAAACCTTTTTGGATATTGGTATCCAAAAGAAACATTTTTATAGTTAAATACATTTTAGACAGTACAAGTTACCTAAATTCAAAGACATTTATTTAGTTTATCTTTTTATCTCTTAAGATTTATCTCTCATCTCTTAAGAAGATAATTGATAATTGCACATTAAGGCAGTAGAAAGATATGTACTGACCTGACACTGCAACCAACTAATCAACCAGATTGAATAAAAGATACAGTTGTGATTTATAGAACTTTACCTTTGATAAAAGTAAATAATTCAAGACCCAATATTTCCTTATGTATGTTACGTAAGGCATAAAAGCTTTTATTAGCCTTAATTGGCACACATCAAAAAACGTTAAAAATATCTATATAAGGCGATGTCAATAATTTCTGAAATTCATATCTTTGTAGGTGTAACGGATATATCTGATTTAGTACCAAATTCTACACCTCATGTCACTATTTAAGGATTCGTTATTAATAGCTATGCTTTAAATAATTGAAATATTTATGAGTACAATATTTGTCGGTGATGTATATAAAATTTCTCTTTGAAGAGTATATGTCAAACTTATTCCAAAATTTATATTCTACAAATGATGGCAACTAACCCAATTAAGTTTTAATATATTAGAAATGACTGAGGTATTAAAATCATAATATTTATATTTAAAATTCATTGGAAATACTCTTTCAATAAGATTGGATGCCCTTTTAGAAGATTACTGTTAATATATCGTATCTGTAGAAGTGATTCGAGATCTTCTAAGTCTGATACTTGCATTTAATAAATTATATGTAGACCAATAAACGAAAGAAATATTTTCAAAGAAGAGTAATGTTGGGTATTTCACAACATTCAAAACAGTGGCTTAATCAAGCAAAAAAAAAATCAAATTAAATGTTTCTTTAATATTATTTATTTCTATATTAGGAATAGGTTTGAATGTTTGAATTAAAATAAAATTAAAGAATATGGACCACTTCTAAGTTAAATTCAACATATTTAATATTAAATTTTTTACTTAATATACAATACCAATATCTTTCCGATTGTATATTAGAGGTATTTGCTTTTACGGGATATTGATCTCGCTATGTGATAAAAGAGCAATCAATACCCTATAGTCAAAGCACAAATGATCGTTTAAGCAAATGTTAACAATATCGATATCAATATCAATTATATCAATATAGTAAGCTTAAATTAAAAACATTTCATCAATATTTTTTTTATGCCTACGAATATTTACAGCATTAAAAATATAGTAAATTTGTTATTTAAATATTAATCAAAGAAACCTTGACATGGTAATATCATAATCTGTTACAGGATATTAGTTCTATTAAGTCGTGTAACATTTTTACTACGTTATTGAAATACCAAACATATTACAAGAGATAATGAACATCATTATTTTTTTTTCTTGAGTAAATGGGTTGATTTCAATTTAAGGTTAGAGTGACAGCCTTATGCACCAAAACCTATTTAAGCTCAAATAACGGCCCTTTGTGTTACCAGGGATTTGCACTGTTCGTACGCTAACCCTTTGAACGACACATTCATTTCCTAATTTTAAAGGACAACAGCTTTATTAGGCTCATTAGAGAAAGGGCTCCAAAGATTTTGTTCATTGCTATCCATCATTTCATTTTTTTTTTCTATTTTCCAGTTTATTATATTTTTTTGTTTGGTCGATGATAAATTCATTAGTAAAATTTATACATATAAATTTATACATAAATTTATACTTGTTTCCTTCAAAACTATAATTAAATAAAAGCCATATGTTACTATTTTAATATGTAATATATTAAATATTTACATATATATGAATATGTAAATCAAATTTTAATATTAAATATTGTTTAAAATTGCAATATTTTATTTTTATTTAAGGTGCTGGTGAATCTGGCAAAAGCACAATAGTTAAACAAATGAAAATTATCCACGAGAGCGGGTTTACTCCGGAAGATTTCAAACAGTATCGGCCAGTTGTGTACAGCAACACAATACAATCATTAGTTGCAATACTTAGAGCAATGCCAAACCTCAGTATTCAGTATAGCAATAATGAGCGAGAAGTAAGTATCTACTAATTACACATATACTAAATGCATAAGTATTACACCTATGTAATATGTTATGTCAAAGTATACATAGTGTGTAATGCTTAGATGTTTATAAAAACCTATATGTATACATAAAGATACTAAATGTTGCATGTTATTTAAAGAGCGACGCGAAAATGGTGTTTGATGTATGTCAACGTATGCATGATACGGAACCCTTTTCAGAGGAACTTCTAGCTGCTATGAAAAGATTGTGGCAAGATTCTGGTGTTCAAGAATGCTTCTCACGTAGCAACGAATATCAATTAAATGATTCCGCTAAATAGTAAGTGATTTTATTATAACATTTATATTTACAAAAGAATTTTATTAAACTATCTTATACACAAAATGGTTCCATTTAAACAATAATCTTATATCTATGCATTAGTTACCGTCTTAAAATCATTAGTTACCGTTCAATCATATATAAATATAATAAAATAAAAGTGCTAAAATACAAAATACCTTATAATAACTAATGTCATTCGTACAATATATATTATTGCAATATGCTTTTATTTGCTTATTCCTGCCTGAGTGTCAATTTAAAATTTAGTGGTGATTCTGGTATGTAGGTTGAGTTGACTTTGTATACTAATTCACCGGAATTGTATTCCACTTTATATTTCCGAAATATCTGAAATGTGCGTGAAAGTTGTAAACAGATTAAATGTAATTAAATTGTTGGTATTTTTATGATATGTTAGTGCGAATGATGCTTTACCTTGGCGAGCAGCGTATTTAATTCAATTTCAGCAAATCGACGTCCCACACACATACGCCGTCCAAAACCAAAAGGCAGACTCACGAAAGGATGAATTTTTTGTCCTGCATACGGACATTCTGTGGCTATTAGATAATGATAGTTTTAATTAAAATTTAATTGATTTGTTTGAGTAGTAATTATCATTAATTTATTATAACACTTACATGGTGCAAATTGTTTCATCCAACGTTCGGGCATAAATCGTTTTGGTTCAGGAAAATATGCTGGATCATTGGAAACGACCAGATGCGGAAATATTACATGTGTCTTCAAAAATTAAAAAAAAATTTAATAATTAATATTTTTTTTAAAAAAAATCTGCAGAAGTGTTATTAAATGGAAAAATTCAAATTTGAATTTATATAGGGTAGTCTTTTTTCTGGACTTTAAGCCGTATCTAGCAGTATTAAATAAATAAATGGGTTAATTCTTATTTTATATAAGTACTTTCAAAAAGATTAAATTAAAAAATAAAAATAAATATTATGTAAAAATAAAAAACAACAACCTAAACCGTTTAAAAGATAAATCTTTATAAATAATTGGGTAAATACCAATATTAATAAAAAATTGTAATATATAATAAATTATTAATATTTATAATAAAAAAAAAATATAAATAATTAATTTAATAAAATAAAAT